TTACTAATGAACAATTACTAATTTTGTATTACAAAAGTTAGAAAGGGACTGCCAAACCTTCAATTAGAACCACAATGAAACCATCCCTGGCAAAAGCTATACATTTAAAGACATATATCGGAGATTAAACAAACAACTCACTTTTTGAATACTCTCACAATTTTAACTTAAGAATTTATCTAACAAATATCTATATTATACCTGACTTACTAGGTATTCTAAGGTATACTTTTACAAGGTGTACTTTAGATGGATGGACAGATGGATGATCTAGGAAAGTAAATATTTACAATAATGCTGAGTACATTGACTATATACATATTTTCATTTATAAACAGATGCTCAAATATTAGTGACATCATACTATAACTCAGTCCAGAAATAAGACAGTCAAAGAATAAAAATTTAATTAACTGGAATCTTAAATTATGTACTGGATCTCCCTATTTCTTAGATGAAACCAACATATATCTGTTGCTACTATTAATGTTATATGAACTAACATTTTATAGAGTTCAATGAAGTCTCATTTAGAATAATGAGTCCTTTTATAGGTCAAATCATCATTTGGTAATGTAACTAGAACTTGATCCACCTGCATAATGCGGTCTGGTAAAGTCATAGAACAGTCTTTTGTCAAATAGAACTGACAATTCTGCCATATTATTGATAAGGTATGGAAGACAAAGAGAAGGGGGTGGGGGAGACCTTTGGTTTAAGCACTTAGGGTTTACCTACAATGAACTATTTAATCTTCCCAATTATAGAAAACAGTATTAGTGCTTTTTGAGTAAAGGAAACAGTATGGAAACTTGCATAAAATCACTCTGAAAATAATTTGAAGTTCCAGAAATGGACAACAGATCTAGACCTTCCACTGTATCACAAACAGTAGAAATACTCAGAGAAATGTTCCCAATAAAAGAATACCTCTGAAAAAATAAGACAAAGTATTAACCCAAAAGATGTGTAAGACCCTATCTTGTTTTATTGTGATATTTACATAAAATAGATACTAATTATCAGCTAAATGGATAAATCTAAAGTTGTTGAGGAATGATTCAATCAATATGTTTTTGGCCTGGATTCTCTTCTCTTCTCTTCTGTAACATTGTTATTGGCTTCCTCCCTTAGTAAATCAAAGGTGAAGGAAAAATGATCAAACAACCTCATGTTTTGCTGTCAGTGAAAAGCACTTATCTTTAGTCTCAGTTTAGTGAAATAATTCTTTCCTGTCTTCAGTTCCATTTCTACAGTGTCTCTTCTAAATCTCCACCATTCACCTTTCCTAACTCCAAATATTAGTATTTTTCAGAGCTGCAAACCTTTCTAACCCCCAACACCCAAGCTTTTACTAAGATAGATCAATTTTAACTCAAATATTGCTATATTCCATCTAACTCACAAGTACTTCAGACTCTCAGCTGACCTTTATTCCTATTACTTTTAGAAACCATAAGCTTTGAACTCTCAGATTTTACCACCCAAACTATAAATATCCATATCTATTTTCACTTCTTTTTTTCAATGCATCCACTTCTCTATCAACATTAGATATTCCTAGGAAACACAGCTCTCACTAAATGGGTACTTATTAATGTAGTCTTTCATACTGCTCATCCCAACCTTTCCTGCATTTTAAGACCTCTATTCTTTCCTCACTTCTTTTCCTTCATCTGTTATATCTTAAGACATTTCCTAGTAGTCTGTTATCATTCTTTAAAAAAAAAAAAAAACTGCCAATTTTTTAAATAGGATGTTAAAGTTATACATGCTTAAAGAATACTTAAACTTTAAAAATACAGATAAAACCCTCCAAGGTGGCGCAACAGGCTAAAGCACAACATTATGAAGCTATGGCAGCCACTGCAGCACGAGTTCCATCCCCAGCCAGGGAGATGACCCACATGGTATGGCAGACCTCTCCTGACCTGCCCATTGCTCCCCTCAGCAGTGTATTTCAGTCGACCTGCCTGTTCTGCTCCCCATTCTGTCTCTGGTGAAGTCTCTCACCGCCCCTGAGCCTCTTGGCCTGTACCCCAGCTCTGTATGCACAAATAAATAAATCTTTAAAATATATATATATGTATGTATATATGTATGTATGTATGTATGTATGTATGTATGTATGTATGTATATACAGATAAACAGGTATATCTGAATTTATTTTCCAAATTTTCCAGATGGGGGTGGAGGTTATTGATAAACAAAATAGATATGTGTTATTTGTATTATTTGTTCAACCTAGATAAACTACGTGGGGGCTCATTATTCTATTTTCTTTTGTATATGTAGTTGTGGGGAAAATAGTAAGATATTTTTCCTCGAGTAGTCTACACTATGATTACCTTCTTCTCTGCTTCATAGCCTGTCTCATTTGTGACTCTTCTCCCACTTCCTCTCAAAAATAACCTCCCCAAACACAAAGACACATGATGTGCTGACACATACACCATAAATGCTACTGTTTACCAAGGGCCCCATCTTCAGACTTCTTTCGTTTTCATTTCTAAACTTTCCTTCTAGGTAAGCTAGTTCAGTCTCTGCAATTAACTGTAAATACTTATCTAAATGTAAACTTCTACCTCCAGTCCTGAGGCCACTCCTGAGCTCCAGATCCAAATGCATGGAATACCTGAGAAACCCACAAAAATTTTGAACAAATATTCAAAACGGCAATGATTTCTTTCTCCACAACAAAAACTTGCCCATCCTCATCTCAATCAATGGTTTCACTATCATGTCCATCATCCGAGCCAGAAAACTAGGAATAATTTTTCTTAATTTCCAGCTGCCAACATCCAAACTCTTACTAAGTTAGATCAATCTAACTTCACTATTTCTACAATCCATCTTTTCTATAATTCACAACTGTAAATTCAGACTCTCTCCATTTTTCTACCCAATATTTTTTTTCCCCAAAAACTGATCTCCCCACCACCATTCCAATCTTCCTCTCATGGGTCTATAGTTTACACTGGAACTGGATTTATCATTCTAAAATGCAAACCCGAGAACACCACTACCCGATCTGAAATTCTTCAAATTGTTCAGGCTATGTTGAAGAAAAATTCTGAACTATTAATCATGGTCTAAGTACCTTAAGATATGGCCTCTCCCACTACTCTGCAAATATTCTGGTCTTCAGTTATCAGAATGACCTAGAATTCCTGAAATACAAAAAAAAAAGAAAAACCAGTCTATCCTTTGCTCTTATTGTGCCATTTGCCTAGAATACCTTCCCTCATTCTCTCTCAACTGAAACCTTTCTCAACTTTCTTAGCACAATCCAAGTGTCACACCACACTGGAGACTTCACTGGCGCTCCTTAAAGAGAATCAGAATCCTTCTAGTAATGGGCACATAAGATGGCCTCAGTGGTTGAAATGGTGACTTTAATTAATGAGACCCCCCTGGGTGGAACTCCCAGGCTCACACTTTAAGCAAGGTGTCTAAACCTGTTTCTTCATCTCTAAATAACAAGGGCTATTTTACAGGACTGTTCTGAGAATCAAGTAAACAGCTGTTTGCAAAATAGGCTGGTCTTGCCTCACATACTGGAAATTACTGTTAAATACTCCCACCCTGAGTTCCTATAGCAACTTGTGCTTCTATTACACTATTGTGATGACATCACTACCCACAAGGTACTATCTTATCACATCTCTTAAACCCCACCACCTGGCATAATGTCTAGGTTCTTAAGAAGTCTTGAGAGAGTAAGTAAAATACTTCAAATATCTACAATACCAAACCTACTTTCCATCTCCTTGTACAAAATTGCTACCTGAAGGAAAATTTAGAAGCAATCTTCATTTTAATGGAGAATAAATTTTACAGTGGATTGTCCTCTTATTTGAGCAAACACGCACAATAAGCCCACAATATCATAAACAATTTCTAACATACTATACAAAACACCAAATTACTAAAATGTTCAGTGCAAAAAATTAAAATGTGGCCCTCCCTGGTGGCACAGCGGGTTAAAGCACAGCACTGAGAATCTAAAAGCCCTTACGCATGAGTTCGATTCCTGCCTGCCCCGGAGGAGACCACAAGGCGTGGCAGACCTCTCCTGACCCGCCCACTGCTCCCCTCAGCAGTGTACTTCGTCGATCTGCCTGTTCTGCCCCCCCACTCTGTCTCTGGTGAAGCCTCTCACCGCCCCTGAGCCTCTGGCCTGTACCCCAGTTCTGTATGCACAAATAAATAAATCTTTGAAAAAAAAAATTAAAATGTATTCAAGGCAAGTTTTCGAAATGTCATCCTGCTTACAACTAGGATCTGGGTGAACTCTGAGGACTAAAGTGTATTCCAAAGCTAAAAAAAAAAAAAAATAGACTTAAGTTTTCATTCTGAAAACACACTCCTGGGCTATGGTGGAATACACTGGAATAATCAAAGAAAACAATTACGCTACTGCTTAGAAAGAGTCTAAGGCTTGTGGGTTTAAAATTAATAGTAATTGAAAGCTAACCTGTCTTCAAAGTAAAATCAAAATATGAATAGGCATTGTTCAAGACAGTGGAAAAGGGTGGGGGAGGTACACATTTTGCAATCCTGACCCTCAAATAAATGCAAAATAGTACGAATATTGTTAGCTACAGATACTATTACAAAATAGCCTGGTATTTTTCATCTACGTCTACGCTTTTAAACATGACTGTCCTTTGAATAATTAGCAATGAATGGGTTTAATAGCAAATGCCTCTGAGTTCCTTCAGAATAAAGATGATTATATGCCAAGAAATAAACGGGGGAAGGAGAAAAACCCGTTAAAAAATAGTTTCTTGGGTCTCACATCAAGTGCGTGACATACATACGGTTCTGCACCGAGAGGCAGCAACCTGGGAGGGTCAGAGGCGCCGAAGGCCCGAGGCCCTACAGCTAGGGCGGCTGCTCATCCCTGTGACTACGCGGGGCGGTGGCCAGACCGGGTGGGGCCGAGCGCTACAGCAGGGGCGGGCCAAACGGCAGGGCGGGAGGCGCCAAGTCTCACCTCCACTTCCCTTTCCCACAGCACACAGCACAACTCCGCGACCACCCAAGAGCCCCTCGCCACAAAGAGCTTTTCTCTCTCCCGATCCTCCCAAAGTTTATCGGTCTTTCCCATCTGTCGGGGCCGCTGGGCTTTGTAGTTCGTCTGTCCAGGCCAACACGCTAAGGATTAAAGCCCAAAGAGCCGCTGAACTACAATTCCCATAATGCCCGTGAGCCTCGCGCTCCCACAGCTCTTTCACCCTCCTAGCACTGATGCCCGCGCCCCAAGACCCGCGAGGCACTGAATCCTAGCGCGTCGGGCAGTAGAAACGGAGCGAGCCTGGGTACCCCACCACCGGCTCGATCTCCGTCCGCGTCTCCCTTGCATTCATTACCTAGTGCCGCACGTCGGCCGACCGTTGGGGATGCGGTCCAGGTGGGGGTGGGGGTGGGGCACAGGCCGCCGCTGCGGCAGAGTCCGTTAGTTCGCGTCGTGCGTGAAGGGGCGGTGGCGGCGGCGTAACGTTGCCATGGCAGCCACGGGCTGCGCTGCAGGGGGGAGCGCGGGGACTGGGAGTCTGCTCCTGGGAGGGGCCCGGGAACCCCGCCCGAATGCGGGGTAGGGAGACGCCTGGGTGAGTCTGGAGGGGAGACGGTGACATTGCGGAGGGCGAGTGACTAACTGAACGCTGCTACCGCCTGACGAGTCCTGCGGCGGCAGCGCCCAATCCCCGTGGCGGGACGCGTGTGCAGTTCTCTGGGCAAAGCGCGTTGATGCCTGCTCTATTCTGAGAGAATGCCAGTGGCGTCAATGGAAGGCGCACGGCGAAGACTCAGCGCCAGGCTCTTTAAAGGTCGTCGTCTCCTGCCCATCCCCCTGGCTCTGTCGGAGGGCGTGTTGGGAACCTGAGCTTTTCTGTTTGGGCTTTTCACCAGTGAAAGCCAATTTGCCATCTACCGCACGTCTTTAATGCGGTTTACGAGTTGCGGGATGGAAACGATCATTCGCTAAAACGTAAAGCACTTGGCCCTTAGGATTATTCAGGAGGCTTGAGACTTTTGTAGATGGCATTGAACTGAATTTTCTATTTTGAACATTTCTTAGGAATCGTTGGTAGACTGACACTTAACTGTCTCAAAGATGCAGTTTAGTGTAAACTGAGCTTTAACGGGCGTCGGCTTGGAAAACCTGCTTCTTAGTTCGGGTTCTGCTGTCACACTTGGTAGCTGAGAGCCAGGGGCAACTCCTTCACCCACTCTGATACCCAGTGTTTTAGTAGGCAAAATGAAGATAGCAATCTACAGTGTTTGTGAGAAATAAAAGCATTGATATGGATTATTATAAAACTAAACCTGGCATTTAACGATAACTTAAATATTATTTAATCCTACGTGATGAGAGTCAGGAGAACTGTAGCTTGAATATACAGTGGGCAGTTGACTGGGAAGGGGTTTCTGTCGTGATGGAAAAGCTATTTCTCTTGCTTACAGTTTGGGTTGCAGAAGTATATGCATTTGCCAGAACTTACAAAATGGGTACACAAGATTTGTACACTTCACCTTATGTAAATGTACCTCAAAGAACATAAAAATATTAGATTTCTTTGAAGATAACTGCAGTATTAACTGCATTCACCAGATTGTACATTTCATCCCCAGCACTTATTTACTTTATAAGTTTGTGCCTTTTAACACCGCCCCCTCTCCCAGCAACCACCAGTCTGCTGTCAGTAGCTATGAGATTATTATTAGAGCTGTGGACTATTATTAATAGAGACCATGGAGATCTTCTAGGTCCAGCCTCAAGATTTTTTACAGAGGAAAACAAGGCCTAAAATTTTTATTCAAGTAAATCAGGGAGCAAAGGGGGAGTGACTGGCCCTGCCATTTTCTAGTAATAAATGTCTCCTCAGAAATTATGACTGAAAATATCAAGCTGCTGTGTATGCCATCCAGTGCTCAGTTGGGGTCACCGTTCCACAGAGATTCTGTTGAGATTGACTCCAGTCCCATTCCACTGCCTGCAGAGAGACCAGTCAGTGCTCTCTCCAAGATTGCACATTCCCTGGGGGTACAATCTTGTAGTCACTTCTGGCTCTGAATTCTTGCTTTCTCTGAACACTTAGTTCTCCCTCACTTTTCACTATTTCACTAGCATTTATATCCACCTACCCTCATCCTCTTACAGCATAAATTGCAATTTCCCTTTCTCTGCCACCTCTCTGGTCCCATCTCTCCCCTTTTCTCCTCTGTACAATAGGTTTAGTTATCAAAGTATTTCCCCAAGAGGGAAAGTTGCTTCCCCAAGAGAAACTCTAGGGCCAGTGTAAAAATAACACTCCCCCCTTAGATTCTGTATTTTTTATTTGATTTAGCATACTGTGTAGTTAGCTGATCCATAAATATTAAGCAGCTTATGAGGCACATGACCCTGGCTCCCTACATAGTGAGCTCAATTATGAAAAATATTTAGTATAAGTGAGGAAACAATGGATAGTAGCTGGAATCTGATGTCTAAGAGAAAGAAAAGAAACCAAAGGCTGCCAACCGTATTTTTAGATTGTAGTAGAAATACCATTCAAGCAATAAAACAATAAAATCTTGAGTATGAAGCAACAGCATCCTTATAGAAGCAACACCTAGCAATTCAGTTACAGTGCTGCATATATAAATAGAGTCTTCTTTACTCTTGGAGAAGATGATACTGATCTATCAGCTAAACACATGTTTTTGTAGTAGGGATGATAGGTTCACCTGATCCATCTATCCCTCATCTAATTTCCCTTGTGACCAGTTGCTTACATTTGCAAGGCAGCTGGCCAGGGTTGGAGTGCAGTCTACAGCCATGAAGTCTCCAAATGCAAGGTTCTAATGCTTAACCCCCCTTGTTTTTTGAAGTTAGGATCCTAGAGAATGAACTCAGCAGGACAAGCCACTTGAGAACGGATGACAGCAGTGAAAGGAAACAGCTGCTTTGCAGTAAGCTACAGAGAGGCAGTCACGCAAAGGAAGACCATGAACCACTGAAGCACAGCTTTAAAAATCTAGCCTGGCTATGGACATCTGGGGAAGAACAGGAACTGACAATAAATTTTAGTTTATTGTTTTACTGGTCTTTGGATTAGTTCAAGTGATAGTTAAACACACTATGCGAATCCAAAAGGTGGAACTGATTCATCCACACACACAATCTTCACACTCATTAAAGAGGCCTAGCTTTCTCCTCAGTTCTGTCTTGGCCCCTGGGGTGTTTGACTTTACAGATCATCCTTCTTAGTGGTCCATGACCTTAGTGTTCTTACTTCATTATATTTATCATCTCTTCTACCTGCTCCTTGAACACAGGAATGGTTCTCAAGGTTCAGTGTATATACCCTGTCAGTTTCAAGGTTTCAACCCCAACTCTGGTTGGCACACTCAGATTTCCTTTGCTGATTCCAGTTCCTTTACTGCACCCAACATGCCATGTGCTTCCTTATCTTGTTCAGTTGCTCCTAATGGTCTCTTCATCTGCAATGCTATTTCCCGGCCCTAAATCCTTCCTATTTTGCAATAACTAACCCAGGCCTCTATGTGAAACATTCTTGTTGCTCCTTGCTCACAACTGTCCCACCCTGCTCCATACTCAAATATTTCCTGAACATATCAACCTCTTGACAACTAACATGCTGTGTAGTGGCAGCTCATCTATTGCTTAGACATTGGCTTTTATCTTTTTTCCTCAGAAGATTTCAACCTTCTCTGATGAACATTTCTGGCTATTCTCAAAATACTTTTATATCTTTTATGTAATAAAGACACATTAAATATTTTGGATTGAATTGTTTCCTTAACTTTTCTTCTTAGTAGAATAACTTCCTCTCTGGCAGTTCTCCTTTTAATAGGAGGAGACATTAGACAAAAGGAAATGAAGACCCTTGTTCCTATATTTCTGCCTTATCCAGTCAAAATGGGGTTCTTCCTCTCTTTTATTCATGAACTTAATATACTTTTGCTTCAGTGCTCCCATGACAAACAAAACTTTCTTTAAAAATCAGTATCACTTAATCATACATCCCTAATGAAAAAACTGCTCCACATTTTAGGAATTTGAAATATTTCTTACTTATGCCAAAATAAACACAAAACCTTTTGGCAATATACTATGGAAATTCTCCTTACTTGTAATTTTGTATTTCTTTATGCTTATTTAGAAATATGAACAGAAAAACCCAGGACTTAAGGCTGTTAAGTGAATTTATAACACTCTAGAGTATTGTAGGTATATAATTTAATGAATGATTATACAGTCCTCTTTGATAGCTAGAGTAATAGTATTTACATTGAGCACTACAATAAGTCATTATGTATATGCTACAAGATGACTTCTTTTACCCAATTGTATGGAACCCCTATATTTAGAAAAGGAATACATAACCAAATATGCATTAGGAATATGTTGGCAAGAGTTCCTTTATTTCTGTCATACAGAATATCTTGTATTGAATTTGAAAGCATGTCACTTGATTTAGCCAGTGAAGCATGTTACAATGTAGGTGGTCAGAGGAAAGGACTTGCGATCAGGTTTTCTATTCCGAGAAGTAGGCATTACACCAAGCAACCCTGACCACAAAACATTTCAAGCCTCATTGGGAAAATAAGGGTATAGCCAGGACCCCATTTCCCCACCTAAGCAGACAAGATACTTTAAAACCAGCCCCTCCTGGAATTCTTCTTTCCCTATTTCTCCATGTGCTGTTCTACTTGGGCTATATATATGAAAAGTGGTGGCTGGGGGTAATTTCCTTTTCCTTCATTCCCAGTTTCTCTGCTACATTTTTGGTTGTCTTTGTCATTTGTGGGTATAAGTGATACGAAATCATAAATTCTTGCTTGCATGAATCACTCCTAAATGGTTAACTATTCAAGCAAACTGTTCAACATCCCATTCTCCTTGCTTGCCTCTCATGTTCACCAAGCTGTCTCACTTCTTAACTCACCTCAAATTTTACCTTTCAAAAATCTCACTGACAGCTGTAATAAAGAATTCTAAAGAATCTCTAGTCTGTCCTTTCCCCCAACTCACAGGTTATCTGTTTTTGTATCTGACCATGAAGTTATGATGAAATAAAGGA